GGGGGAGGCCGGCCGGCAGCCTAGACTGAGCTCTGCCTTCATCTTCCTGCCATCCCGGCCTAGTCACCCACCTGTCTGGAACTCAGTTTCCTTATCTGCCAAATGGGTAGTACTATTTAGCACCACATTGATTTATAGGGATGTTGTCCAGACAAAATAGAGTGGCATTCTTCAGGGGGAGAAAAAGAAGGCTGTTTACTTTATAGTGAATCAGCACAGTCCTCATCTGCTACGTACATTTCTATGTTGTGTGCCCCTCTACTGCACATGAACGAGAGGCTGATACATCTTAATCACTCCCTAATCAACTTGCACAGCTTCTTAGGGTGGCACTTTGGTCCCCTAAGAAGCTGATGACATAGTATCCCGCTTCCCAGGGTATCTGCATTAAAAGCCAGAAGGCCTTGAGGTCAAGGCCTAAGTGTAAGGCAGTGGGATTGGGAGAAGGAAGATAGGTTCCAATCCTAGATGTCTACATACTAACCACAAGACATGAAGGAAACGATTTTTCTAACCCCTCTGGGATAGAATGAGAGCTCCTTCACCCTGCAGTTTGGTGAAGGTTTGACAAACCATGTGCAAAGTTGTACTGCAGTGCTGGCAATTTGCAATGACAGTTACTCACCTTCCTATGCCAACTGTAAATTTCTATGAATCTTGAATGCTAGTTCCTAGGTATGACAGCCCCTGAGAGGGAGTGATTACTTAAAGCAGACCACCCATCTTAATTCCCTCACCCATGATGACAACTGGCAGATGAGGTGTAAGTATAGGATTTGGAGGGGAGACCTTGGACTAACTGAACTGCCTGGAGACACCAGGCATATCACTGAAATGCTCCCAGGCCTTCCTGTAAGTTGGGTGTGAGAAACATGTTCCCTAAGGCACCAAGGCTTCATTTCTCAACTTGGATGGCGACACAAATCACTATTAACGCGCAGATTCCCATGCAGCTGGTCTGCCTTTCTCCCAGGCTCCCTGGTGGTCTGCAGAACAGGCTGCATGCTAAGCCTTTGACTCTTTCCAGTTCGGAAGTTGTCTTCTGTTCTAATTAGACTACTAGGAAATCAGGTTCTACAGAAAAACGGAGTTACTCGGGGTAAAGAGGTGGAAGCAAGTGTTCCTCCCGTGTGCGGTGACTGGGCTGGGAGGAGGGGGCACTGATCTTTCACATGCTCTCCTGCGATACCGAGTGCCCACGGCGGCACCGGCTCTGCATGTGAACAAGGCCAGCTCGGCATGGGGAAAGGAGCAGCTGCACCAGGCAGGTTGTTGTGGTGCAATGAAGATGCATTATTTAAATCACACCAGAGGGGAGAAACACTTCACGAATGTGGAAAATTATCCATGCCCAGGCTCAATCTGGCTTGAACGCAGAGGTTCCACGCCACGGTTTCTGCTCCCAGTGGGCAAAACAGCCTTATCTCCTGCGCAGCTGCGCTGTCTCATCGTGACCAGCAGAGGGCACTGGAGACCCACACACGCGAAGGGCCCGGCGTCGTGGTCCAGGTCGGATTACACAGGCTGGCTTCTCCGCTAGTGTAAGGGGCGAGTCCCCACCACCGCACAGGGCCGGTAGGCTTCTGTGTGGCCCTGTTTGCATGGATGCAATCAAGCAATGACGACAGGTGAGTGTGCTCAGTTCAGGTTTAGATTTTCATGGACTCCAGTTTTCCTTCCCTGTATCGGTGCTGCAGTTTCTGCTCACTAGTGTCGCTCCTGGTACACGCTCCGCTAGTCCAGCATTAATGATCGGCGTGTGGAAACAGCGACAGGCCCTGAGCCCTGGGTCACTTAGACTCCACGGAGGCCTCCTGGGGATGAGAACTCCAGGAACATAGATCAGGGATCTATCCCAACGGGATAGATAGAGGCTCTGCCCTGTCCTCTGAGCAGGCCTGGGCCTTGCCAAACTGACTCTGCGGGATAAGAACTACTTTGGGCCTCAATACTCAGCCTCTTAATCTGTCCAACTGGACAGTAATGCACGTGGTTTTGAGAATTGGGTTTCCTTGGAACTTAGGGTATGATGATTCTTTTTCTTCTCAAAAACTAGTTAAATTAATCTGTCATGATGCCTTTTCTTCTCAAAAACTAATTAAAGTTTGACAAATATAATCTGTAAGTTTCTAAGATTCAATCTAAGCTTTGATTTTAAAAGTTTGTTTTAAGAAAGAACAATGCTAATTCTGACACTAGGTCCCATCTAAAGATTTAAAATACCTTACTGTGGAACCTTCTAGAATGTCAGATGTTGAAGAAGATGAACAGCTGCAGGCAGGCTAACCAACATCCTTTTACTATCAAAGTGCCTCATGATTTAATTTGTGCAATTACAGTTTATTAACAAGCTTCGACAATGTGTCTGTAATGCTTTTTTAATTAAATGTACTAGCACAAAGTAGGTATTTAAGAAGTATTTGCTGAACTAACATGTATACATTGAAAGGAAATGTGAAGCCTGGCAGGATCAGAACACCCTTAGTCTGATGACATTCCAGCAGTTGTACTTGACAGGCCCCCTTTTGTCAGGGGACCTATTTTTAGCAGTTTTCATTAGTGTGCATACTTATGGGAATCTGTCGTTAGAATCTCCTCACACACATTTCTGTAAAAATTAGTGAGGAGACACCGTGAAAGAAGGAAGTGCTTCCCTAAACTTCTGGGTTCTGTGGCTTGATTTCCCTTGGGTCTCACTCCTTTTGTGCCTCGGGCATAGGAATAACTGCTAATTTTCGTCATTGATGTTCAGATGGTTAATACCGTCTAGCAAGCAATTGAGGTTCCCTACCTGCTATGGGACATGACATTTCCCCTAGTCCCTTTCAAAACAGATTCCAATTGAGAATGAAGACCTATTTTTTCTAGAACAAAGAACCACTGGCTTATACTTAAGAGGTGTTTGAAAAGTGATTTTTTTTTTTTTTTTTTTTTTTTTTATTTATTTGTGCATACAGAACTGGAGTACAGGCCAGAGATACAATGGACTTCACTGTGGTAATGTCAACAAAACAACTTTTGTGATATGGTTCCTTCCTGGGCAGAGTCAGTGTACCATGCACAGGATATTCAGACAATTCCTAAAATGCAGCCACTGGAAAACTGACACCCGCAGTGATCAGGCGCTCTCAATCCTTTCTGGAGCAAGGTGAACTGTGGACAAAGAGTAGGCCTATGACCCTGGTGACCTTGTCTCATGATATGTCACAGTGTCGTTATACCTCATGGGCAACCATTCAGGGCAGCAAGGTTGAGTCTCAGTTGTATTTCAAATAAGGTCACTAAATGTGTGCCTTTATGAGAACAACAACAACAGCAACAATAAAAACAATCGAAAAACTTGACTAGGGCCAGGCAGGAGTGAAATGTGGTGATTTGTAAATTGAAGGTGGCTGAGAGAGCTTCAGGGAGCAGGCAGCTGGCTCTTCCCTCCCTGACACGGGATATTAGAGTGCACAGGCGGGCTCATCCAGACAGCTGTGCTTTGGTCAGAATGGCCTGATACAAGGGTGCTTTTAACAAGCACATTCTGGAACAAACCTTCCTGGGAACAGAAGGATAACAAGCAAAGGAGACGGAGTTGCTTACCTTTCTGGGCACTGCTCTCCCCAGGGCAACCCCAGGAGTGGAGCAGAAGAGCCCGATGTTCACACCTGGAGTGGCAAAAGACGACTTGTCGCTCGCCACAGCGATGTCACAGCTGGCAACCAGCTGACACCCGGCAGCGGTGGCAAGGCCATTCACCATGGCGATCACTGGGACAGGATGTCTCTGGATCTGCATCATGACCTCAAGACACAAACACCCTTCCCTTAGTCAAGAGTGGGAGCAACGTGCACACCCCTTATTTTATGTGACTTTGCTTCAGAGCACCACTCACATGGGCCAGATCCTAAGGAAAAAGGGCCAGAGAACACACAAAAACGAACTTGCACTGACTGTCTGCTTTGTGGCCTATGGCCTTTGGTCTCCCTCTCAGGAGGGAGCCCTTTTATAAGCAAGACTGGAAGGCTCAGAGGGGGGAAGTAACTTGCTGAGGCCATTAGGCATCCCGTAATTATGGGTCAGAGCCAGCATCTGTGTGACTCCAAGTCCCATCTCTGGCTGCTTCCCAAGCTGCCCAAGAACAGAGCTCACAGTGACCCCTGGGGAGCAGCCAGTCCTGGAGTTCTGATGTTAAAAGCATAAAACTGCTATTTGGCGCTTCCTTAAAAAATTGAGGTGGAAAAAGGACTGGAATGCAATTTCCTTAGTAATTACTTCTCAAATTACCATCATGAACACGCTCTCAAGTCTATTAAAATGGTGGGGAACACCCTGATGTCATCAAAATAGGCAAAATTCCTAAATTTTGTCATTGGCACAGAGAGGGGAGGAGAGCCAAAACTTGCTCATGTCCCCCACCTCTTGAACTTTAACTTATTTTGGCAGTTCACACAATACTTGGTTTATTTCTGCATTTTTTCATGATACTCTAAGCAGATTGTGTTGCTATGGTAACCTGTTTCTAAATGGTTGCTCTTTGAACCAAAGCAGGAGCAAGGGAAGCGGGAAGAATCTACATCTGGGCTCCTCTCCCAGGGTAGCAAATCAAAGGAAAAATGACCTCACTGACTTAGGGATTTTGCTAAAAGAACTAACCTTCTGTATCCATGAAAACTTGATATTTATCAGTTTCATTATAAAATAACCAATAATACATTTATGGACATAATACCATATTCTCTAGTAGGGGTTCCTGACCTGTTGGGAAGGGGATTTCTTTGGAGAACCTGAGAAATGCTCCTCACCCTCTCTCCAGAAGAAAGCACATGCAAGAGTGCAAACAGGGGTCCACATGCTTTTGGCAAGGATGACAACAGTTAGAGAGCTCATTCTAAGTGAACAGCAATAGCAGAGATGAGAAAGCACAATGAAAAGAAAGTAAAACATTTTTATAGTTTTGTTGCAAAAAAAAGAAAGGATTTTGTTTTGTGTCTTATTGTTGTCAGTACCCTACTGGGCTGAAGTTAGTTATAAAAAGTCAGTTGACTGTGATATGTGTGGAATAGTTTGTGCCCTGTCTGCCTTCTATGACGGCTCGGATTCCATACAGCCTGGAGGCAGGGGAGGGAATACCTAGATAACACAGTACCATCTATGTCAATAACATTAAAAATATACCTTTGATCTAGGATTTCTGTATCTAAGAAATGATCTGAATCTTATTACATAATTGTACAGAACAATGCAGTTCCTTGGTATGGTTATTCAAACAAATAGGTTCACATGGAAAAAGATTACATAGTGAACTTTTTATTAATTAAAATAGCCTCTGAGTGGTCCAACTTTAATGCTTTGTCTTTTGATCATGGTCTATTGTTAGTACTTTATTTTTCTTTTATTTTTATAATTCCAAATTTCTATAAGTACCTACTATTTATATAATTTAAAAAATACTTTAAAGTTAGAGAGCAATTCAGACTAGACAGAGAGAACCTAGATAGCAAGCAAGCTAGAATAATCAATGCCTTGATGGCTAATAATTGATTATACCTCATATTTTTCCTTCCTGAATTCAGGAGTGTTTGGGGGTTCTGCCTAATCCAAAATGTGACATAAATTTAACTGTTCATTAGCCTTGCTGAAAAGCATAGCTGAAGGTTCTGAGGTCTCTCCAAAAGAGGGCCCAGTGTCATTTCCCTGGTGGGGTATAAGGAGAGAGAAATGAATCTCTTCCTGTCTGGGACTTCCATCTTCAAACCTCAACAGGATAAAAGCAGAGGCACAAGGGATTGGTTCCTCATGGAAGTCTGCCAGTGAGCTCAGAGAAGGTCACTTGGCTCTTTCTAACCAAGTGATTCTTCTCACTCTCAACCTGCCCATTCCTGTTTGGTAAAAAATTATCATGCGGTGCTGGTGGTCTGTAATGAATTTGCTTATACTTTCTAGATACTGAGTCAATTTAGATATCTCTACCTTTCTGAAATCAAATTTTCTCATGCATGAACTGAACAATGAAATATCTAGCTCATTCTGTTCCAATCTGCCTGTTGATTACACTTGAAATTGAAATCTTGTCCATGTTCATGTGCTCATATTTATTGAGGACAACTGATTTTCTTGGGAAAAAATTACAGAAATCAATACACATCCACTCCTATTTTACTACACCAGGGCCAGGTCTGATTAGGCACTGTGTCATTTTCGGTGAGCTGGAGGCATCCATGGGTAGGAAGCTTCCAGGAAATCTGACCTTTGTCCTCTGAAGAAGCCTCAGCTCTTGTAGTATTCTGCTAAACACACTTAAATCTCAGTTCATGAAACTATCATGGCAAGGAGATAAAAGCAGGCCCTTCAGGGAGGATGAAGAGCTCTACTGGTTCTCTTTGATAATTTTCTATTTTGGACAAATATGCTGGGGCATTAGTAAAATAATAACTTTTAAAACATTCAGTCTTGGCAAACACAAGAGCAGAATGCTATCAACGTTAATGTGAAACAAAGGACCTATGTCTTAGCTCTGGCTTGTTTTCACCTTTCCCCGAGGGCTCAAGTCAATCATTTTTTGTCTTTGTCCCTCCATGAAATGAGAAGACTACCACCTGCTTTCCTGATAGGTTTCTGGAAGAGCAAAGAAAACAAGATGATTCGGGAAGGTCTCCTAGTTCCTTCTCATTCCCCCTCTTGCTGCACATCTCTTCCTGTCTACACAGTGGGTTTTTGCTAAATATTTGTTTAACTATCATAAAATAAATGAGCAAATAAGCCAATAAATAGATGAAACTTTAGGCTTAGTAATCTGAGGGTCACACATTTTTTAAAAGACTTATTTATTTATGCATATAGAATTGGGGTGCAGTCCTGAGGTGAGGAGTGTGAGAGGATTCACCAGAGACAGAGTGGAGAGCAAAACGAGAACATCTACTGAAATACACTGCTGAGGGGAGCAGCAGGTGGGTCAGGAGAGGTCTGCTGCGCCATGTGAGTCACCTCCCTGGCTGGGGATTGAACTCTTGCTGCAGTGGCTGGGATAGCTTCAGAGTACTGTGCTTTCACCCATTGCACTATAAGGGAGGGCCACAAAATTGCTTTATATGTCTTCTTTTCCAATTAGATTTCCATATTCATTTTGGAAGAAAACTCTTTTTTCCTCTCTTTCCTTCAATATCTTGCAACCATTACATGCATAAGGTAGCCAATAAATACTCATCAAGTGAATGTGTTACTTAGAGTTGGATTCTATATTCAGTCTTGATTATTCATAGTTTAAATTTAACATAGACATATACCATCCCCCAAATTTTGTTCTTTTCCTTCTATATTTGTTAGCAGTTTAACTCCTTTACATGTTTAAAGAAACAGAAAGCAAGAAGTGAGTATAAAGAGATTAATGTTTCCACTTGGAGATGGTGATTTTAAAGGATGATGAAAAGACAGTTTAAAAATAATTTTTAAAATCATTGTTATTACTGTATTTACAAATGTTCTTCCTTTCCTATCAACAGTTGATGGGAATTGGTTTGATGCTGTGGACACTTTAATGGTTTAATTTTGATAAAAATAATTCAAGTTAGCTTGAAGAATTATAATGATTACATTCTGTAATCACTTTCCACTCTAAAGATGTACATTCCCATTTATTATTATATTAAAAACATATATACTTCAACATTATTCCCATAATGCTGGAGATGGTAACTTTCAGCATCAGAGTATAGTTTACTATCTTTGGCTTACAATAAAGTAATAGCAAACTACAGTCACTTCTTATATATCTAAACCAGAAAAATGCTTAGATGAAGGATTCACCATTGACCTCAGTTCTCAGTACTTTTGCGCTAGTTGAGTCTCTTACATAGTACCTTACTGTACACTAGGAGCCAAATTCAATATTTAATTGTAATTATCAATTTCAGGCTTGTAAGGTTGTTGACAGTGATCTGGGCTTACCTCCGCACAGGTTTGAAATACTTGAGTGTGATAATCTGGCCCTTGCTCCTCGGTCAGTTCCTTTAAGTCATGCCCAGAAGAAAATACAGGCCCCTCAGCTGCAAATGTTTCCATTTGAGAAAAGAAGAGAAAAAGATGTAAATAGCCAGAGCCAGCAAGTTCACTAACTTGTCACCTGAAGAACTTTAGCAAAAAATTGGTTTGATGCTGTGGACACTTGGAGCAAGCTAATGGCCTAATTTTGATAAAACTAATTTGTGTTCGCTTTAAGAATGACAGTGATTACATTCTGTAATGGCAGTGCAGGTGAGATCTCTGTACTCTAAAAGGTTCATGGTAGAAACTGATGAAAACATGCAATTTCCAAAGAAGACTCAGGTATAGGTGAATATTCTTTTGCTGGAGTTATCCCCCTGGTCTCACACCTTTGATTTTGAACTTGTCTGGCCTGTGCATGTTAAATCAAACAGGTCTATTGAAATCCACATGCCTTCAGCAGTATCTCTGTCATTTTGTCTACAGATAAAGGCCATCTTATGGTTCAGAGTAGGGAATGTCAGAGAGTGAAGAGGCCCCTTTATATTATAAATGAGGGATCTGAGGATGTGGTTTTGTTGTTATTGTTGTCATTTTCAACAACAAAATGTAATTCCACTGACAAGTGGATACCACTTCCTCAGCTTCCTTTTGTTGTGGTTATTTTGACAGGCAATATTATTCCCTTTTTACAAGTGAGGAAATTGTGTCTTTCAGAAGAAGCTAGCAGCCTTCATGGCATTTGGGTCATTCTCCATGGCGGCTCAACTCTGTTAGTGCTACATTTTTCCCCTCTGAGAAAGAGGTTGAAATGCATATTCAACTATGGGTAAGGAAGTAGCATTCTAAGTATCTGCCTTCACAAAGCACTGATCCTTCGTCTTTCGTCCTCAGCCCACTGATATTTAGTTCACCCTTCTGCCCACTGAAAAGGAAGCCTACCTATTCTAGAACATCTTTGGTTTTGTGTTTTGGTGGAGGCTCTAAGGTGCTGACAATACCATTATTTATAACACCAGCATCATCATCATATAATTCAGTAAAACTGAAACATAGTAGGGAGAGAAATGAGCAAAATCTAGCATAGTATCAGGCATCAAATAAGTTTGCAGATATTATTGAAAACTTGGTAAGTAAAGACAAACCAATCAAATGTCCTAGCAGCCTTTTCCTAACCAATGAGAAAGTCCAGCAAAATGACTAGTGATTGATTGCACCCATCTTAGAAGGTCCATAGAAATCAGTTCTTCGATATTGATGGGAAACCCAGCACTGTTAAGAGTGGTCATGTTTAGAATCCAAGAAGGAAAAGATGTATTTTCACTAAACAATAATCTATGCTATAATTTCCAGTTAAATGCATTAGGGCCAAGGCTCCCATTACATAATTAATGTTCTTGTAAAGGAGCTTCAAATATAATTCTCCCATTAATGAGGGAGTGCCTTAGTTAACTAAAGCAGTTTGAGAAACCTCTTCTGGGCACTACCACTGAAAATAAAAGCAAATTGCATACCTGAAATAATGATGACTTTCAGATCTTTGCTTTCGGCTTCATGAAGAATGTCACTCTGGAGAGATTTCAGCATTGCAAGAGACAGTGCATTCCTCCTCTTTGGATTGCTCAAGACTATGTTCCTGCAATGAACATTTCATAATTACGGGGTCATGCACCAGTCAAAACAATGAGGGCCATTGAGATTCCTTCCTAATGTGGAAGCTATCTTTAAAGCACCAGAAAAGAGAACTGTGGGCACTCAGGGACAATTGAAAGGCTCTGTCCACACTCTGGAATTACAGCTAAGTCAAAACAAGGAGACTACCTGAACTGTAGCTAGGTTTTCTCTTTCCTTCGGTGTTTCCCTTTTTCTCTAGCTTTGCTGTCAGAAACAGCACTACCATCTCCACAAAAAGGGCAAGTCACAGCAGTTCCCAGATCACTGCAGTCCAGGCCAGAGGCTGTGAGGCTTCAAAGTCAGCGTTGGGGCCAGAAGCATCTCTGTGGCTCCCTTCAACTTATTCTTCGAGTTCCTCAGATACGAGTAAGGTCAAGAAAGGAGCCAAGGTGTAAACATGCCCCCATATCTTCCACCACCTAGCCCACAGAAGAGGCAGTGCAGTTTTAGCAACCAAACACGAATATCCGAGTCTTTCCCATTTGTTTTTATGGTGGCAACTTGTAATTCTACAATCCTTGCTCTCTGAGAGTTGTATGTGTGTGACTAAGGGACAAGACTCTTCAGCAAGAGGACTCTCTGGACACATCTAACAAGTCGGCTGGCTATTTTCAGGTCTCCCACATATTGATTAAAATAAGCTGTATCGTTAATGCACTACCTGTACAAAGAAATGTTTTATTTCTGTTACAGCAAGGAACAGGCAAAAGCCAAACACTGGATTGTTGTTATATATTTTATATTTGTCTCCACCTACATGTTTTGTCTTTCCCAGTCTTTTTGAATCTCATAGCCCAACACTATGTGTCAATTTGGATCCTCCATAAATAGCCTTCTGTGTCACTGCATTCTGGAAAATAGCTTTGATGACTGAATTTATTTCAGAGCAATAAGAATACCCATTTTCTGTGGAGTACCATTTCAATTTTGTTGCTATCATCAGGTGGCTGTGATATTCATTGTTTTGTTTCTCATAAACATGTTCTCTCAAAAGTACAGAAATGACTTGTCGCTGACATGCTGATAGACTGAGAACCTGTATTTTGGGGGGTGGGTGGTGAGAGAACTGCTGATAAACCTTGTAATAGAGTAATTAGTGTGCTTGTTGGAGCAAACCTAAAACACTGCCATCCCTTCGGTGACACATGCTTAAATTAAATTCTAAGGCTTCAGGAAAAATTGTGTGAAAAGATGCCACCACCACCCCCAACCCCCTGTTGTGTGGCAATGTCTGTTCGCCTGTGGCCCATTAATCCTTTGGCCAGTGTGTTGCAAGCATGTCAGAGTGCTCTAAACTGCTGGGTTCACTTTTTTTTTTTTAAAGATTTATTTATTTGTGCATACAGAACTGGGTACAGGCCAGAGGTGCAGGAGCTGTGAGAGGATTCACCAGAGACAGAGTGGGGAGCAGAACAGGCAGATCGTCAAAGCACACTGCTGAGGGGAGCAGGTCAGGAGGGGTCTGTCGCGCCATGTAGGTCACCTCTGGGGCAGGGATCAAACTCATGCTGAAGTAGCTTTAGCTTTTTAGTGCTGTGCTTTAACCTGCTGCACCACCAGGGAGGCCCTGGGTTTACTTTTAAACCTGGTGTAAGCATGCTTTTGATCCTGCCATTCCACTAAACTGTTTGCATGGAGCTTCTTTTTTTTTTCTCTTCTTATTCTGATGGGCCACATTGTTACTTTCCTCTTCCATGTTAAATGATTTAGGTGTCTCTATTGTCTCAATTCTTATATATATATTTTTTATAACAGTTTATTTTTACATCATTTTGTACATTTTTTTTCCATCTCAATTGTAATCCCCGCGGTTTCCCATCACCAAGTCACCCGTGTCCCATCACCCTAATCCCGTGTACTTCCCTCCCCACCCCCTCGTTTTTGATCCCATTCCCCACTCCACCCCCACAAAATGTCTCTAGTATATGGTTGTTCATTATTCTTGCCTGGTCCATTATATTCTTCCTATGAGTGAAACCATCTGGTATTTTTCTTTCTCTTTCTGGCTTATCTCACTAAGCATCATCTTTTCCAGCTCCATCCAAGTTGCTGCAAAAGACATGTGTTTCTCTTTTTTGGTTGCTGAGTAATATTCCATTGTTTATATGTACCACATCTTTTTAATCCAGTCATCTACTTTTGGGCATTTGGCCTGCTTCCTGCATGGCGCATCTTTTAAATGCGAGCACTACATCCAATCAAAGGCCATTTTGATCACACTCCTACAAAAATATTTCTTCTCTCCTGGTTTTTTGTTTCTTTAGCTCTCTGGGAATCCTTTTCAATGTCTTCCATGGGCGGTCATTTGCTATTCCTTAAATCCTGAGGATCCTTGGAGTTCCCTGCTGTGAGTTCTTCCTGTTTCTCATACCCTTCCTAGGCACCATCATCCCGGCTGTGGTACCAGCTTCTACTGTGAAGCTCACAATTCCCAATCTTTGCTGTAATTCATGTCTCTTCTGAGCTCCAGCTCTGCAGGTTCATCCAACAGTCTCCTGGGCTTCTCCACTGAGGGGTCCTTAGGTATCTACCTCCACCCCACCCATGACTCAACTTGCCTTCTCCTCTTCTCTTTAGTTTGCTTGTCCAGCCCAGAAATGGAAAGCCTCCTGAGATTATTCAACTGGTCATCAAATGCGACTCACAATACTGTCCAAAAATTTCACCAGTATGAATTCTCCCAATGGTTATCTTGGATCTAAATGTGATGCTTTGCGCCTAGAACTTCCTCAGCACCATCGCTTTTAAGAGGGACTCTCCCCAAGACTGAGGTACCACCAAGGCATGTGGGAAAAGTGTAATCTTTCCATTTATGAGGCAAGAAATGGTTCCTGTAGATGCTCTAATGAGCTGTCTGATGATCACATCACAATAAAGCACCAGAAGATTGGGGAGAGACTGCCATGTTCACACTCTGAGGAGATGCTCAGCAAATATCTGTTGACTGAGTTAATAACCAAAACTAGCAATTCTGTTTTTTACAGGCAGTTCCACCAAATCTTGTGAATTTTCATTTCATGTAGTTTTTTTTGCCATTTCTTATAAACCTAAGTGGTGAGTATACTGAGATGGCACAGTGGAGAGGAAATGACTTCAGAGGCAGATGGCCCTTTCCGTGACCCCTGGCCTTCCTCCCTGCTGGCTGTGCAGCCTGGAATAGGCTGTCACCTCTCTGAATTTGTTTCTTTTCTAACAGGGGACAATATTATCTATCTTGCAGGCTATTGCAAGGATTAAGGATAATAAATATGTAGTGCTACCATAGTACTCAATTCACAGCTGACCCATTATATGACAGTATTATCTCTGAAACTTGTGAAAAGGCCACTAAAGAGTGACTGAGTTGCTCAAGGCCACCTACATGTTGCCTAACATAGCACTACTTTTATGTTAATGGGGGGAAGGGGCTACTTTTCAACTAAGGGATTCCTAGATTTATGCTAGGTTGTTCTAATCATTTCCCTTTCTGATTCATATTCTGCTCTGTATAACTCAGCCAGATCTTTTGTCATTTGGATGCCATGTCAGAAGTCAGGCTTCTGAACAGATCTAACCAGGTTTGTAGAAGCAGAATTGCCCTTGAGAAGAGACTGTTAAGACCACTACACTTTAGAGAATCCTGTTCTGGCTTTTTTCAGCCACGTCCTTCTGAGTGAGTAAGGAATTCACTGGGATAATCACATGTGCTCACCCTGAAGTCATTACACCTTCCAATTCCCACTGCAGTTACAAGAGACCCTAGAACTCTCTGGTTCTGCAGTGGGTGTCCCTGGCCCACTGGATGGCCAAAAGCAGAAGTGCAGGAGTATTGAGATTATGGGAATGGGGAACTGGGTGTCTGCAGATCAGTGAAACATGATCTGCAAAGCAGCAGGAAAAGGGTGGAGTGGAGGGAGGGGTGAGTAGAGTGTGGAAAGAGAAAAAAGCTTCAAGTCAGAGGCTGGAGCACAGCTCTGTAGGAACTCTTAGAAGCGTGAACATTATAAATTCAAATTGGCAAATATGGGCTTTCAGGTTTTATGTGGGTGTTTTGTGACAGTAGAAGAAAAGATATTCAGTTGTTACCTTTGTAAATACTTTGACTAGTCTAAGGTGGCCTCCCTTTGCACCCTGGTCTGGGCCAGACAAATGTCAGTTTGAGGAGGGGATGGGATTAGGGTCCCTTCAATATTTTCTCTTTTGTTGTCAAGTTCCTGGTGTGGGCGCAGATATGTTTTTAAAGATTTTAGGCTAGTTGAGCCAAAGGGCAGAGCTCAGCAGTACCCGGAGTCCTTCAACCTAGTTAATCACTCACCCCCAGCCAGCATATCTGGGTAAGGGCCAAGGAGCAGCAGCTAAGCCAAACCTTGCCTTGCTGCCAGGCCAAGTTTGTGAAATACGCAAATGTTCCATTAAAGGGCTTTCTTATAGGTCACTGCAGCCCTGTGTCCACGTCAAGATGCCCAAGGGAGCCTAAGAGCCCAAAGATAATAGGGTGTATTGCCTTAAGGATTTAAAAAGTGCAGGGGATAGAGGGAGTTGGCCCCACTCCCCCCATCCAAGGCAGTCCTACTTAAAGTTCTTTTGGTGTGTGTCCTGTCTTAAACGCTGCACTATTAGGCAAGGGACACCTATGAACTTGTGTGACTGGATTCCTCCAACGTCGAACTTTTCTGCTGAGCAGATCTAGCAGAAACAGATATAATGGGGGGTCCAGGTGGCAGACACAGCTGCCCACTAGTCAAGACTCCTAATTTTGACTCCCTGAGAGTGTGACAGGGCACGGTGGCCCAACCTCCTCGACCCATTCTTTCCCGGTCCCTGCTGTCCACCCCCACCTGGGAACAGCCCCTCATCGGAAGGGCCAGGGCACCCGGTGTGTCCCGCGGCTGACCTGATGCCGTCCCGCTGCCGCGTGCTGGTGGGTCGCGACCCAGACTCCGGCTGCCCGGCCCCCGCGGGCCCCCGGCTGCAGAAACCGGCGGTGAGCGCAGCCCACGGACCGCGCCGGAGCCAGCCCGGCCCTTTTGTCCCGCAGGCCCGCAAGCCTGTGACAGCTGCCATGGCAGACACGTTTGGGAGGGATCAGACGCCGCGGTGCCCGACGCTCCAAGGGCTGCGGGGCTCGGAGAGCTCCGAAGGGCGCTGGTGCGAGCCCGGCGACAGAGCTTCCACCAGTCGGGGACACGGGCAAAACGGATCGCAACTCAGGCCCAGGCCTAGCTCGGACTTTCCGGGCCTGATCAGCCCCAGCTCGCTGTCCCCGGGGCACTGGCGCCCCGCCCTGCCTTGGAGCACCGCCCCCTCGGACGCTCAGGCCCCGCCCCTTCCCCCGAGTACCGCCCCCTCTGGCGCTCCCGTCCCGGAGCACCGCCGCTCTGACGCCCGGCCCGCCCCTTTCCCCAGCACCGCCCCCTCTGGCGCTCAGGCCCCGCCCCTTCCCCCGAGTACCGCCCCCTCTGGCGCTCCCGTCCTGGAGCACCGCCGCTCTGACGCCCGGCCCGCCCCTTTCCCCAGCACCGCCCCCTCTGGCGCTCAGGCCCCGCCCTTTCCTTCCGGGTACCTCCCCCTCTGACGAGCCTGCCTCGTTCCCTCCAGAACACCGCCCCCTCTGGGCCGCCCGCTCATAGGCCCCGCCTCCGAGGGCTGAGGGGTGAGGCCTAAAGTGAAGGACGCCCAAAGTTGTTAAGGACATTAGCGAGGTCACTGGGTTTCCTTTTTCACCAACACCAAGACGTAGTGGTTTGCCTAGATTAGGAACATGATTCTCATCAGGCTTTGAGTGGTGTGAGCTGTGGGCGTCGCTTTGTTACTTCACCACTCCCACCGGAAACCTGCCCAGGTCTGGGGTGCCCACAGGTAGGTCAGTACCTGAGGTGTATCGCACTCAGCGGATCCACATTCATCTCAGGGATTTGTCAAATGCACCCTTCGGGGAAAGGCGGTACTTTGCAGGACCATAGCCAGCTTGTGAGGGCACATCCTCCTGCTGGTAGCTGAGGTTTGAGGAGAAGCTCCTCGTTGTCATTTGCTAGTTAACGGTTTCCTGTGTTGGTTAAATTCATCCAAGTCTGAAGATTGTCAGGACGCTGGTACGAGCCGGTCCTGCTCTTTCTAAGATCTTTCCGTCTCTTAGGAGAAAACCATGCCAGAACCCCCACTCTTTTCACACTGAGTTTTGCAAGGATGACAGTTATAGTGTCACAGGACAGGATACTGAGGTTCAGTATCCTCAGATAGGGCCGCTGAAGTTTCATAGTGACTAAAACAGCCCCAAATGGGCTCCTTGCAACGAGGCCTCTTTAATGGTCAGCTTTATCATTGGACAGAACGCTTATGTATAGCACATGTTGAAGTACTAATTGAAATCATGCCTCCCCTTCTTTGTCCCTCGTTCCATCCAAGTATGTGGGTTATTATGGGTTTATTGCCTCAAAGGAAGTGGGAGTTTGAAGTATTCAGAGACAAATGCGGCAATTCTTGACTTTTGAGTTAAAAAACCCAGTGCTTGGCGTTTGGAAAGAATACCAAATAGGCATAATAGATTTGAGGTAGGGGGAGGACCAATGAGTCAGGTCAAGGTTCTAGCCTAATGTCACATTAAGATCCCCCAGATTTGAGGGCAAGGATAGGGCAAGTCGTAGGAAAAGGCAGAATAAGGTAACTTTGGTGGGGTTTGGGAAGAGGGTGGGCTACAGCCTCTGGGAGAAGTGGGAATGGTGGGAAGGCAGGTTTTCCTTGGTAGAACCCCAGGGGAGTCATGAGACTCTAGGTAGTAGATGGTCCTGAGGACTTCAGAGAATTTTCCATGTCCCAGTTGGTGTTCTGACTAAAGACTGGTCCCTTTCCTCTGGGAGGAGCTGGGCAACACAAATTGAAAACACTTGGGTCTGTGTTTCAGGTTTCTCTGTTCGTCTAAATGCCCTCACCTGCTTTCCTATCCCTTTCATGCTGACTTCCTCACAACCCGCAACCCTGAATGCTTTTCAGACCTGGCACACCTGGTTGGAGAATGGTGAAACACAGAGGAAACTGGAAATGGATGGCCATCCAGTTCTCCAAACAGGTGTCTGTATCACCTCTGGAATGTGGGTCCATCCTTAAGTAGTGCAAATGTTTTCATTCTCCAGACTTCCCGTGCCTCTCATTAATTTTGGTAGGCTGCTTGTCTTTCTTCTCTCTTGTTCAGTGCCCTTCTCATCTATTTTTCCGCACGGGCCTTCTCCCTGACACAATTTGATTTCCAGGTTGCTAGCAGGCTCTGCTCAGGCTTTGATTTATGTGTGCCTTCCCCGTGCCACATGCCTTTGCTGTACAGATGTGTCTCTGCTCCCTTTTCACATTTCCTTTAAAGCCCCGCCGATGCTTGGCAGAACGTTACAGAAATAATGCAGAATAAAAGACAGTTCGAGGGAGCCTGGTGTCTCAGGCTTGATGTAGGAATGAAGGCAAATTTAGAACTCCTCAGGGTGCAGAGAAAGGAGACTGAAGGGCATATTTTCTCCTTCTTATGGAGTGGTTTTGAACTTTTTCTTTTTATTGATTTCAGGCCCTTCTAAGACAGGCCTGTAATGACATGGTTCAGAGGTACAATGTGAAAGAGGGGAGCTTAGTTTGGATGGAGATCTCTCTGGCAACTGGCTGATACTTCAATTTTAGTTTTCCACCTCATCGTCTCCCTACATCCATGCCCCCCCACCTCATTAAAAAGACATATGAGTACCAAGCACCCACAAAACAGAAATGTTTCAGACTTTTGTTGTTTCATGTAGAGATGCTTTTCAATGTCTGGATTTTATTATTTTATATTTTATTGTTAATCCATCAGCCATTATCCAAATGCCTTTTGCAACCCTAAAATTTCTTCACAAGTATTCATGCTTCCAGTGGATGAAAATTCATTTAGAAACCAAGCAGCAGTGGGGTGCCTAGGTGAAATCAACTTCCTTTTATCCTCACTTAATGCAAATTCTTGAGTTTAATCGCATGCCTTACATTCAACAAACTCGGTAGCTTAGGTAAGGGCTGTGGAAGGGTGATGTAGAGATATTGCATAGCAACTATTTCATAGTTGTAGATACATTTCAAATGAACTTGCAAAGTTTAAAGACCCTAACATGGGCATTGATAGAGACCTTTTGGAGGACAAGGCATCATTAGAGGAATCTTTTGAGAGAGGAAAGTTGAATGTCCATTAACTGATGCAAGAGGAGGCCGCAGAGCTGTGAGCTCAGAACAGTGAGCTCATCATGGCTCAGGGTCGCTTGATGAAGAAGGGGCAGGAAACCACATCGCAAACCAATCTCTGAAAAAAATAATGATGGCGAGTCACCTCTGGGGTGAGCACCCCTTTATTCCTGTCCCCCACACCTCCTCACAATAATTATAATCCTGCCTCAAAAAGAGGGTTGAAATAGGCCTCAGTATTATTTTTTCAGTCACTTTTTTTTAAGATTTCATTTATTTTTGCATACAGACCTGAGATGCAGGCCAGAGGTGCAGGGGCAGCAAGAGGATTCACCACAGACAGAGTGGGGGGCAGAACAGGCACACTGATGAGGGGAGCAGTGGGCGGGTCAGGAGAGGTCTGCCACACCATGTGGTTACCTCTGGGGCAGGCTGGAATCTAACTCATGCGGAAGTGGCTTTAGCTTCTCAGTGCAGTGCTTTAACCCGCTGCGCCACCCGGAGGCTAGCCCTCACTTTTTAAAGGCATGTACAAGAACTTAAAAGTTCTAAAAATCTAAGTCCTATGAACAGTTACCATATATATCACTAGGTTTTTTGACACATAACATTGTTGAAGTTTAAAATGTCTAATATAATGACTTGATATAGTCCTCCATTTATTTTATTTATTTTCTTTTTTTTAAAAAGATTTATTTATTTATTCATATGGAACTGGGGTACAGACCAGAGATGCGGATGGTGAGAGGATTCACCAGAGACAGAGTGGGGAGCAGAACAGGCAGATGGACAAAGCACACTGCTGAGGGGAGCAGCAGGCCGGCCAGGAGAGGTCTGCCTCGCCTGTGGATCTCCTCCAGGGCAGGCGGGAATCGAACTCATGAGGAAGTGGCTTTAGCCTCTTAGTGCTGTGCTTCACCAGGGAGAGCCCTTATTTACTTATTTTCATAAATGTGTCTTTATTCAATTTTTAGGTCTCAGTCCTAATGCCATTTCCTGTAAGAGGACTTCTCGGACACCCAATCACAATGAAGTCTCTTATAGAATCCTCTTATTTTTGGCCACCCTTATCATCATTTAAAAGCAGGTATTTATTTGTATGAATGTTTCTTTATCATAGCTCTCTGAACCCTCCCTATGCAGGGCCTACGGGTGCTTTCTCCCACTGTGTATGGGATACCTGTGCCTGGCACAGAAGGACACACTGATATATTTTCAAGGAGACTGTTGAATAAGTCAAAGAATGAGTGAGCATCTCTTTCCTGCTCAGAAACCTTCTCCAGAAACTACCACATCACCCTGAGAATTGCAGGTTTTCTTGATTTCAATTCACATTACCCTTCAAATATCCATGCTACAGTAATTCTGGCTCTTTGCTATTCTTTCCACTGGCCCTGTACTTTTCTGCCTTCACGGCTTCATTTTACCATTCTATCAAATAATCCATAAGCGAATGAATCTATGACTGGCCTTAAATCATACCCAGTCTTCAAGGCCCATGTCAAATGCCACATCTTCTGTGAAATCTACCTCCAACTGGAATTAATTTTGTTTCCTCCTGGCCTTCTACAGCACTTTGTAGCCATTAAAAGCATTTGTCACTTTCTACATTTTCTTTTAAATTTCTTTCTATCTATCTCTACCAAACCATGGTATCTTGAGGCAAGCTTCATGTCCTAGTCACCTTTGCATCTTCCACATGGTACATTAGCCACAGCACATACACAGTGTAAGTGAAGACACAATTTATTATGGATTATTGTTCAAAGTTACTGTTTTCTGACAACCTAAGCAGTAGTTCCCTTCACAGACACAGGAGGGTGCTCTAGCCAAGCAAATACACAAGGACTGCCCTAGGTGGATTCATTTCTAAGTTATTTTAAAGATGATGGGGGTCTCTTGTGAATTCTTTCTCACTGGTTATATTGATCAGCTGTAGATGACAGGAAAGAATATAAAGAACAATTTCATTGGAAAAGTAAGAGAGTTAATAAATCAGTTCAGAGGCTGCATTTTGTCAGAAAGAAAAGGCAGAACAAGAATGACTTCTCTGAATGAGG